CCACATATACTATAAAAAATGGAAAGAAGAGCAGACGTCTGTGCTTGTAGAGCTCTGGAAATCCCATGAATATAAACCTTGTGTGAGAGAAATTGGCTCCTTGTAAGTCTTCAGCCATGGATCTAACTGAATATTGTTTCCTGAAATAATCAAGACAGATATTAAAACTCTTATTAAAAATGCTATACACCATGAGGTTAAGACACTGAAGACTAATGATTGCATCTTAATAATATAATGCATTTATTAAGATAATCCATTTAATTAAATAAAGCAACAAGTCACTTAAGAAGGGTAAAGTAATCAGGGCAATAGATGTCCCCTTTCTGTTTTGCACAAAGACTAATTTATACAAGAGTTTGTGTAGTATGTTAATAGAATATAGTAGTTCAATATTCAGTTTTACGAATTGATACTGTATTGTTTCACTAGTTTTCCAATTTCACACACAGAAAAGAAAATTAAAAGAGGTAAATGACATAATCACAACCCCCCAGCTAATCTTGAAACACAGGTTAAGAATTTGATATTGACAAATAACATTTTAAATGTATTAAATAATAGATATAACTACATAATAACTATATATATTACCTTGTACTGTACATACCCTCATACAGTGATTTGGAGACACGCTTTTTCTTTTTTGACATTCGAATATCTGTTACGAAACCCTTCTGCTAATTACTTCTAGTCCAGGCCAGTAGAGTGTTTATAAAGGTCTGACCAATTCTCAGTAGAGTTACAATAATTCTCCTGTCTTTCATATGAATCCCTCCCTGGTTAGAAAGCCCTGGATCACTTTCTATACACTTTGAGAGAAATGGATTCATCCCTGTTTTTATGTTTTTCTTTGGGAATTGCTGTTGCACAGGACTTTCACAACCGGCTGTATCGCTCGCAAGCAGACATGCACAATGAGAGCAAAATATTTTTTCTTCCATTCATTTAAATTTAAGTTTACTTTTTATACCACATACAGTGCCTTGCAAAATTATTAATAATGTCCCACTTTGTTGAATTACAACTGATGTATGCATATTATTTACAGTGAATCACTTTAATATTTTATTGTGTGACAATAAACATGAGCAAAAACTGCAAAGAAAATATACAGTACATTCATCATGTTCCATATGTACTATATACAGTGCATATGGAAAAAGAAAAATGTGTTTGGGGTAAAAAAAATATCCATTATACGTATCCTTCATATATATGGTTTTTCATCCCAACTGATTCACTTCATCCACATGGATGACATGCTGTACAGCAGCTGGCAGCCCCAGCTTGTCTGATTAGAGGAAGACCAACCTGTAGAAGCACAGAGTAGAATTTAGCCAAGGTACCTTGGATGAAACAGGTCTCAAGAGATCTTTAATGACAAAGATCCTATATCTCATAACAAGGATGTCACTTCCAACTGCACAGTGTCCTGGGTCACCATGATGGGGCATTAGTTTTGGAAAATCTAGTCCAAAGGGAAGTTTGGCACTTATAGTTCTGCCAGCACCACTCACACGAGCTACCTTGCTTTCTTTCGCAGTGCCCCAGCCCAGTATTGACTGGTACCAGCCTTGCGTAACTTCTGAAATCAGATGCGATCAGGTTACAAGCAGAATGACTTCCCCTCATTTTCAAATGTTCTTATGCTTTTGTTCCAGTGTTCCCTGGATGTGCTACCTACAGTACATTGCACAGCCCTTAAAGACACTTCTTGCCTGCAGCAATACCTGGTAAGCCTATCGATAATGGAAAACCAACCGAATCAAATGTGACATAGAAAAAACATTGGATGTACAAATTTATCAAAAACCAGGATATTATACTCTTTATGGGGTCTTTCAGCATAAAGGCCTAATTGCTCTGAGCCACTGGGGTAGCACCATCCCATAAAAAGGATGTCATACACACAGGACACAGTCTCACACACACTCAGAAAACACCTTCATACCACCAGGCTAATTCATACTCTCCAGGGTACAGCAGATACAGACAGACTGGAAATCAGAGTACAAGGGCAAAATCCAGTTGCAATCATGCACATTTTCTTTCAAACTCCCATGCTCAAGGTACCCAGAATTTGCTATTTAGATTTAAATGACTGCACTGTTTGATCTTTGGCCCCCATGCACTATACTGATCAAATATGGTTTGAACTGATGTGAACTGGTCACAAACAGCACACACATAGATTGTATCCCAAACAATAACCCAGTAAAAACACGAAAGAATGGTAATCCTTATCTGTGCTAAATACAGAACTATGTTTATGCATTTTAGTTTCTAGGCTGTAGTAATAATATTTCATCACATGAGGTCTCCTGACTCAATAAAATATTCAAGGACACACAGTTTGTGATTCCCTGGAACTGTAGCTCTGTACCCATCTTGGTAGATAAACAGTGTGAAAGTAAAGGCAATTGATATGAATAAATTCAGCAGTGTGTAAATCTATGAGCTACCAGCAGAGACACAATTGACCATTGTCTTTAAAAAATATTTATTGAAGGACTCCACAACTGTTACAAATTACTAACAACATTTGTACTTTCACAGTGAGGGAAATAAAAGAAAAATCCACAATACAGATTTAGAAATATTGCATCATTTCCATTGGAAATGGACATACCATTATTTCTTATTATTTTGCATAATTGGATAGTTGATTTTTATTTACAAAATAAAGCAATATTTTTTTTTAAATACAGCTTTTTCATCATTTTGAGTTACGGTTTTCTTCCTTATCCTGCCTCTTATACTGCAGCTGCTCATTATCATCTCCTTCACCCCTATGGAGGAATAAGATACTTAAGCCTCTGAAAAGATCGGAGTGAATTTTTTTCTTAAAGCTCTGCACAACATGGAGCTTAAGTAGCGCTGGTGTGGTGTATGGATATTGTGGTATGTGAGGCTGTTGTTGGCAATCTTTTATATTTTAATTCTTTGGTTTAATTCAGGAAATTTAAAAATCAAGACTATGGCATCCATTCAAGTCCCACCTATTCATGTTCAGCCTTTAGGTTCTACTTAATAATTGTTGCAATTTCTCTGTCTGGTATTGTATTGCTTTAGTACCGCAGAACGTCTTTATATTACATCTTTTCTTATCTGTGTATCTGTTTTAGATCTGTATTATTTGATATTGTTGTCTTAACTGATCCATTTTGTTTATAAAATTGTGTGTTATCTACTAGTATACTGGAATTGAAAAAAAATGCATAGTGAATTGCATAGTGAATTGAAGAACAACATTTTTCATTCTGTCCTTTCTCTGTCTTGTCATTGTGCATTCTTTTCTCATAGCTGATTCTGACGTGGAAAAACCCACTGCTTTCAATATTATTCCTACAGCTGCTATAAAATATAACACTTTTTCCAGAATATCTTAAATCAGTACAGCGACTTTTCACTGACATGGGTAATAGCTTGTTATAAGATGCTTTGTTGTTTCAGTCATTATTTTGAAGGTAAAGTTAAATTATGTTTTACCATTTAAGTGCAGTAGTATACAGTTTGTACATTTGCCATCCTTAAACAAAATAAACCTAAGCAATTATTCAAATTTAAGTAAAAATATACTTTGGTAATGCTTTAACAATTAAAACTGTAATAAAGTATAGTGTTTGTTTGATTAATACAGTGTCTTACTCCTTGAGAAGTAGTAAAAATGCATACGTATTAAACATGATGCTACAACACAGTTTTTTTCAAAATGTACAAATCTAAATTTTAATTGACCTTAATAAGCCTGCTTGTTTCACAGTAGTGATATTGTTCTGGACAAAACTAATTTTTCTCTTTGTGAAGATTTTCACAATCCCATTTCTGATTTCTTTTGTTCGGACTCCATAAATAATTGGATTGACACCGGCAGGGAAAACTAAGTACATTACTCCTAAGAACGTATGAACGTCCGTAGGGATATTAATTTTGAGTCTGTAGGCTAAAAAAGTGACACTACCTGAGAGGTAAAAGAACAGCATCACTATCAAATGAGTGCCGCATGTGTGAAAGGCTCTCCGACGTTCCTTTGTTGATGCAGCTTTTAGGACTACGTTTAAAATCCTAATGTATGAAAAAGAAATAACTAAGATATCAAAGCTAACAATTGAGTAGGCCACCACTAATCCCATCGCGTCATTTTTGGCAATACTACCACAAGCCAAAGTAACAAGAGCCATGTGCTCACAATAACTCTGTTTTATGACATTTGATCCACAGTAAGGAAGGGGTTTGGCAAGAATAATGAGGCTGCACATCAGTGATCCACTTCTTATTAGAGCAAAGATGCTGAGTTTTTTGAAGATTGTCGAGTTCATGATTTCAGTGTAGCGCAGGGGAATGCAAATGGCAATAAACCTATCCAAAGCCATGGCCAAGAGGATTGTGGATTCAAAGGACGAGAAGAAGTGAATGACAAACATCTGAGTGAGGCAGCCAACCAAGGAAATTTCATTCCAGTC